CACTGTTCAAGACCTGGACATGAGACATCACTGCCACAGCCACATCTGGCACTCCACCTTGGCTCCCACCCAGACTGGCCCACTTTTTCACTGTTCAACATGGGCAGGATTGCTTGGGAAGAGGAGGAACATTCCAAGGCCCGGGCATGAAGGTCCCCTGCCTGCTAGCCAGAGCTCCAGACACATCATCACTGCTACTCCCGGGACTGAGCTCTGCTTCCCAGCCAGCCCAGCCCACTCTGCAGCACCTCTTTGGAAAACAGGTAGGTGCTTGCAAAGAGTGCTTTCCTTGGATGGCTGCTTGGACTAGTGATTTGTGGTATAAATGCTTCTTTTCTATATTTGCAGCATCGTTCTTATTTCAAATGGTGATGGTGATGATGTTGATATTTATGGATAATTTGCATTAAAAGAATTTTCCAAGTGATGTACAAAAATACTAAATAAGATCATAATTAAGCTCTGAATAGGATCACAGCACACCTCAGTAGGTGCCAACAACCTGGGAGGGCTGGTGCTTATCTAGCTGGGACGGACAGAGAGTTCCACAGAGTGGGCCCTGTGATATTAAGACCCTGTTCTGAGACAGACCTCTGAGATCTTGGTCACCACCAAGATTTCTGTGCTGAACACAGAAACTTAACGAAGTTAAGAAGAGAAGAGGGAGTGAAGCATCCTCTGAAATATCCTGGCTTTGAGATATTTAGGGATTCCTAAGCAAGCACCCAAACCGTAAACTTGGTGTGTTAGCATATAGACAGCTAGTGCAGTTTATCATAGCTTCCCCTGCTACATAACAGGCTGCAGCATTTTGTACCAACTGCAGCTTCCAGACCAACCTCAAGGAGAGTGTTATCTGACCACATAAAGTGCATTGCAATGATAAAATGTTGAGGTTACCAATGCACAGACCACAATGGTCAAGCCATCCCTCTCCAGGAATGGTCATCACTGTCTTATCAGCTTTTTATCCTCCAGATGGTGTGATTTTCATATAGAAAAATCCTATGCCCACATAGACAGAGTCTAGTATGTTCTGGAAAGTCACTCCAACTTCAGAGCCGGGGATCTTGAACTCCTGGCCCTGATCTTGGAAAGATAGCTACTATGGTGTAGTGGTTAAGAGCATGGGACTGGGACTCAGGTGATATGGGTTCTAGTTTCCATGCAGTCACGGAGCCAACTGGGTGACTTTGGCCAGTCACAGACTCTCAGCCTAGCCTCCCTCACAGGGCTGTTGTCGTGGGGTAAGACTGAGAGCAAGATGAGGAGAATGATGCAAGCCACCTTGGGTTCAATGTAGGAACAAACCCCCCAAGATATAACTGTAATAAACTGTGCTGGCTGCTTCTCTGAGACTGAAAGCCACCCCAGATATGGGATTTTGGGGATATTATGGGAGTTGAGGATAGTACAGGAGGAGAATGGTGCGACCAAATATGACCTGCTCTGAAAGTATCTCAGTCTACTTCTCTCTTCCTCCAAAGCACTGCAGCTGCATTGTGTACATTTGCTGTCTAGTCGTTTTTTGGAGTGGGAAGCATGTGAAGGACACCTAGAGGTATCTCCCTAGGGTTGCACCACCAGACTGTGATACCCTCGGCCACACAACTATTAATATTTAGAAAAACTACTTTAAACCACTCAGAATAGGACTTTATGTGGTTCTATAAAGAGGGTCTTTTGCATCTGTTAAACACACATCCCTATATATAGGCCAAGCAAGATCGCAATCCGGAACACTTACTGATGTTCTAATGACTTCACCATCATTTGCATTAAAAGAGTGTTTCATTTTTTAATTTGTATACAAAATTTGTATCCCACGTTCCCCCTCCAAAAAGGGTCACTAATAGTGCATAGCAACAGACCCAAGAATAAAAAAAATAAGGATGCATCATCAAGGTATCATGCAAGTAAAGTAATGTCCAACAAAGAGGAGCTTTGCCTCCTCCATTCAGAGAGGATAACAGGGCTACCTGCAACACTTTCCCTCAACCTGGTGCTTCCAAATCTGGCCACATCCAATGGCCTCACTTATGAACTCGCGTGGGGCACCATCTGGGGTCACCAGTGAGGCAGCACAAGATTCCTGAGATTTTGCTACCTCAGACAGGCAGCCTCTTTGAAGTGCTGCCCCCGCCGGCAAAGCAAAAGAAATCTTCCGTTGCATGGCGAGGTGAAGGACTAGTCTAGAAGTATCGCCCTCATGTTCTGGTTCTCTATAATACAGGACGCTCTGTTTTGCCCATGAATTTTATTTTATTTCAAAATTAAGTAAACAAAATAAAGGCAATGAAAAGCAGAACACACACAATAATCAACCAAGAGTATATAATAGGAAACCAAGAGTGTTAAAGAAACAAAGGATTCAATCATTACAATCCTTAGCCTGCAGCCAGTGTGCTTATGGGAGAATGGCCCAAGTAGGAATGCAGTGCCTGATGAAAGACTAACATTATACAGCACGTGTATGCATACAGATGCATATATTACAGAAGGAACATGTGCATATGGCATTTTGTGTATATGAGCGCTTAACATGGGGAAGTATAAAAAAAACGAATCCTACACCTGCAGACCATAGTCTAGTCTTAAAAGGCTCTTTGAGTGAGTTGCTTGTCTCTGAAATTTCTCATTTTACAGAAGACCTGCATTTATATTTTGTAGCTTTAGTCTTAAATGCTCCACACCACTCCCACAGGAGGGTTGAGAAAGATCAGAACCATCTTGCAAAAGCCCTGGTATTCTCAGGGAGAAGCCCTCTGTAAGGTCCCAGAACGGAAGTTTGCCAATCCATGAGCACTGGGTGGAAGGAATGCTGTATTCTTTTTAGGGCTGCAGGGAAGTCCTCTTGCTTTGAGTATTAAAGGGCTTCTAGTTAGTAGAAGTGTGAAAACAACATGGCTAACATCACAACTTGCGTACAATTCTCACATGGTGCTGTGGTACTAACTGGATGGCATATTGGAAGAAAAGCTTGGTCAGAACAATTTATCCATAGACCTTTTCTGGTGACAATCCTATAAAGCAGGCCCAGCATTAGAATCTAGCTAATGAAAAAATCCATGGAAAACTGTCATATGTAACCTGTTCCGAGTGACTTCTCTACATGTGATGCACAGAGACCACAGAGGCCAGAAGTTACAACGGTCAAGAAATTCGTAGTTCTGGCAAAAGCCGCTGGGTTGTATGCACCTTCATTTTGCACACTATTGCCTGAGAGCAATGCTTAGTTTGTATGTATGGCTTGGACAAAATCTCAGCCAAAAGCAATTTTTAAGGCTTACTAAAGATTTAAAAAAATGTATATGAAAAACACAGTTCTCCTTGGTAGCACACATGCTTTATATGCAAAAAGTCCTACTTCAGTCTTTGACATTTCCAGTCATTTCCAGGGCATGTCCAACCTTTCAAAGGTGGCTTTGAGTGGAGGCTTGTGGCTCCTGTGTCAGCGTGGCATTGAATTCACTCTGGATATCAGTCTGAACTTTCAAGGAGCTAACCATGGTGTAAAAGCCAGTTTGGTGTTAAGCTTCAGCACCATGGATAGCCCTTAAAACCACCTTCCAGAATGGATTCTGCCCCACTTACATTAGAGCTCCACTGTGCCTGTGGCTACAAAAGACCTCCTATCCCCAACCTAAATGCAGGAGAGCAGCTGCCATTCAGGGCAAACATGGACACCATTTTGAATATCCACCCCCAACTGGGAGCTGTTGTGTCATTTGAACCTGGGGAGCATGGGCTATGTGAGGATCAATTATGTTATCTCCAGATGCCATAAACCATGATGAGCTGTGGTATGTTACTTGAACCCAGTCAGTGTAAAATAGGAGTGGGCAAAAGGTAGACCTCCATAATTTTCTGAGTCAGATGGAACAGTACAGAACAGATCCCTGTGCTCCTATGCTCTTTGAAAGAGACTGGTAAGTTTATCTAGAAACTTTAAAGTTCAAATTAGTAGTCTGCCTAGCCAAATGATGCATTACATGGTGGAAAGGATATGAAAGGATGTTATCTTATGATAGAATGCATATTTTGCATGGAAAAGTCCAAGTCCTTTCTGGCTGATGGATGGAATACTAAACAAACAAACAAATGCCAATTATACAAGCCTTCTGAAAAGGTCTTTAGGTTTCATTATTTGAAGAAATAAAAATCTATGCATGATAAACAATATACAAATCTTCCCACTAGTGCATCTTTAGCTCACATTTACCACTAGTGGTAATTTGTTTACTCAGAACTAAGACTCACCAAGTCCAAAGGGATTTACTCCCCAGTAAGTATTTTTAGGATTGTCTACAACTTGCCTACCTGAAAAATAAAGCCAGTGCATTGATTTATGCCGTGATTTGTCCACTTATGTTAACATGAGGTACACATCTGAACTTAGTTACCAAATGCTGTCACACAGGACTGAAATATTTCTGCTAGCTATGCCACAGGTCGCATGGCAAGTAGAAGCCCCCATAAAAGACTGCATTTCATAACCAGGGCACTGCTTGTGCTGCTGTCCTGTACACGCTTACCTGGGCATAAATACCACTGATCATAACAGGACTTGCTCCTGAGTAGACCTGCATAGTGTTGTGCTGCACACCTGAATTTACTAATTCCTGGAAGCTGATGAATTTGCAGACTTTGAACTGCAATGAACAAGAGGGATAGAGTAAGCCATTAATGGCAATGTGGCAGAGCCAGAGGAGATGGGGCAGAAAAGTCACATGGGGGCTTCCTCTTTGCCATCATCCAGAAAAGAATATGTTAATGTCATATTTAGCATCCCACCCATCCCATTTTAGTGAAGAACTAAAGAAATATTACTGCAAACCACAGGGCACTTAACGGGAGAGAGAGAAGCCAGTAATTGTGGGAAGCAATTCTGGCAATACAGAACACATAGCAGAAGTTGTCATTTATCATGCCAATTCTAACTGTCACATCGGCGCGATCCAAGCAAATCAGTGAAGTCACATGGTTAAGGCCTTCCTTACCTGGGATGGGAATAATAGGAATGGTTTCGTTTGGCACCACTCGAGGTGAACTGCTGTCCTCCACGTAGAAATGGGCTGTCTGAAAACATTTTCTGTGAATGCAAGGGAAATATCATCAGTACTTTCAGGGCTCTGTGATACTTTTGCTCAGGCTGAGCATTGGTAACAGGCAAGGAATCTCCCTCCTTCCCTCCCTCCTGATAGAGCTGCACTTTTCATTCTGCAGTTCCAGGGACCCTGAACTGGAGATCTGAAATCTGCTGTTACCAAAAAACAAGCAATTCATTTAGAAGGGTTGTGTTTCTTATCTTTTGTTTAAAATACTGTTAAATTGTCCGGGAAGTTTAGCAGCTAAGATTTTGTTACTTCTCTTACATAAATTTACAAAGTAAACTTCCGTGATCAGTTATTCCCACTCAAGCACAGCTCTTTTTAAGAGAGGATTACAGAAGAGCACCGGCACCCTACTGGCTACTTGCTACTCAGAGTAGACCCTTGCTACTTCGTGCCAAGTAAAGTGCAGACAGCAGCTAAAACATAACACATGCAAACGACGCACTACTTCCTTAGGAAAGTTGTAATCTTGACAAGAAAGAACTCCTTGCTGCTGCAAAGTCCTCTTCCCAGGCTCTTCCTCCAACATAACGGCAAGCATCGCTGCTGAACCGAAGCCTGCAGAGGATGCCAATTCTGAATCCCCCATCCCATAAAGTGACTCTGAAAAGGTCAGAGGGCAAGTCGCATGCAGCACACCGATGCTCACAGCACCCAACCCTCAGGGAATGAATTCAGCCTCACATGCCTAATTAAAGCGATCATTTAAAAAAATACCTGTACTTAATGCAAAGCAGGGAGCACAAGCTGGTCATCACAGAGAAGGCACTGAGGAGGAGAGCACCCAGAGAGCCAGTGAGCCTTTGCATGGCAATGCTAAGCAAGGCAGGGTTTTCCACGGGCAGCAGCGTCACCGTTCATTGCTGCCTTAATGAGCTGCTTGAGGCTGGGACTGCATATTTAATGAGCCCTGCTCAGCGTGAACCGCCGCGCTTGTGACAGCAGAAGGGGCTGCTCTCGGCTGACGGGAGCTCTCAGCGATAGCCTGGACACCGAGCAGAGCGGCGCGCTCCCTCGTCCTGCCTCGCCTGACGGACTGCTCCTCGACACCTGTGCAGAACCTGCCTTGCCTCGCTCCCCCGACAAGCGAGCAGGAAGCAGGTGGGGGGCTGCCCTCGCCCAGCAAGGCTTGCAGCCCTCCCCGCCATGCCGTGCGGCCTCTGGAACCGTGGCCAAGCAGAAAAGCCCACTCCATCCCGTCAGCTCTGCTGACACGGTCAAAGCGATTTGTACTGCCATTGTTTCCAGGACAGCGATACATAGCCGAGCGCTTTTTTTTTAAAGGGAGCATGACTCAAAGAGCTTTCAAAGACCAAAGATAGCTCTTACATGAAGTTATGAAAATCCAGCGCAGGCCCTGCATTTCGCAACAGTACTGAAGTCCAGGCCATGGCTTTGCATTTTTTGCCCTCCCCCATAATATTAGATGCTAAATCACTTTGGGATGCTGGGGCAATATCAGGGTCTATTCACCCCAAACATCCAAGGTGGAACAGGGATGGTCCTTTGTCACTCCAGATCTCAGCAGATGGAGAGGCAGAAGCTCCTGGACGTGATCCATCTAGAATAACTGGAGCCATGCCCCTCGTGCCCGGGCATCCACACTTTGAGGCCATCACACTCCAGTCTTCTACATAAGGTGTAACCATCATGGTTAGCAGAGCTGAGATAAAATCCACTGGATTACAGCGTGTATAAACATTTTCTATATCCTGCGCTGCCTCCAATGGGGAGCTCAGGGTGGTGGTTTACTCATGGTCCACCTGCATTTTTCTCATACACAAGAGACGCAGGAGAAGCCCCCACCACTGTGCCATGGCTGGGAGGGATTTGAACTCAAGTCTCCCAGGTTCAAGTCTGACATTCTGTTCAGCGCATTGCCCAAGCTCTCAGGGCTATCAGAATAGGGACATCTGGCAATCCCAACGGCTGTGCACTTATGGTGCTTGATAAATAATGGAAGGAATGGCAGCTAAATTCATAGAGGCACTGAAACAATAGGCAGCCTCTAAAGATCACATTTCACAGCATGATTTGCTCAAAGCAGGCCCTGGGCTCCAGACAGAGTGTCTTTTTGTAAGTGCACCTTTCTGGGAATGCCGGCCTATGGAGAACTAATGCGTGAGAGTCCAAGGCACAACCAAACATCCCTACAAAAATTTATATCTCTTTTCCATTAACAGATTGGCTGCACTTTCCTCACGCCTGATAAGTGAAGGAGTTGGTTTCAACTTCGGCTGCCTTCATTTTGGACTACACACACCCTGGGGGCACAAAGGCGAATAAATCAGTCACAGTAAGCGGAAGTGCTATGAATATGGATTAGGCAGACCGTGCATGTGTTCGATGCATTCAGGATTTTCTCCCTTGTGTGAAATATTAGAAAACCCATGAAAAATGGGTCCTGATACTAGGCTCCCAATCTGAATTTTCTTCATGAAAGATCAAGGATAAAAACAGAAAAATAATAATCATTCCTCACTTATAATGTTGATTCTCAGAATGTTCTATATGAAACTATAACAATAAAAAGCTAGTCTCACAAATCTATCGTGGTATTTCTACACTGAACAGAATATACCTTGCTTGGGGGCCTGGTAGAATCAAGAACAAGGGACCAGGTTAAAAAAAATCCACTGGCTTAGTCTGATCTGAATGGCTACATTGCCTAGCGTGAGCCAAAATAGTTCATTCTGCTGCTCCTTCAATGCTGAAATTGCCTTCTTTTAGTGTTCATTCATTTTGAGTGTCTCTGAAATAGGATTCTGATATTAGTAGCATAACCAGGTATAAGACATAAAATCTGAAGAAATTCACGCAACAATTATGTTTTCCATACTCAAGCGATTGTTCACCAGAATGAGTTTCCTAAGGATCCCCAGCACCCTTGATTATACAAAGTGATGATGCAATGGTCATAAGACACCTCAGTTAGCTTAGCTCCATACTAGTTATTATTGGATGTATAAGACTTAGACTGTCTAAGAAGGTAGAACACAGGAAGATGGTGGTTAGACCACTGGTCCATCTAACTTAGCAATATCTAGAGTAGACATTGCCAAATGGCAGTGACTCTCCAGAGGTCATGAGTCTTTGCATGAGAAGCATATACCCTACTGCTGGAAGATGGGGCAGGAAAATAAATAAATAAATAAATAAAGAAAGAAAGAACGAACGAACGAACAAAAGAGCTCATCTCCTTGGAATAGTAAGGTAATTGGACAGTGTTATATCTCCACCAGCTATCGAAGGAAAAATTCTCTGCAGTGATTGATTAAAAATATTAGTAGGGAAAAATGCTGAAGTATATTTATTGAGCTCAGTGAAAATTTCAATCCATGTTACACAAACAGTTAAGGTCAGGCCTCTCTGATAGATCATTTTCAGCTGGCAATTCCCAGAGTCTATGATGAACTAAAGCTCAGTTCTCCATGATCTTAGGAAGTTAGTTGCTGCTATGCACTGTTATAAGCAGGTACGGTACAGAGGCAAGTACATGCACAGTAATCTGCTCTCGCAGAGGGAACTGTCTTTGTTAAAGGAAGAGAAATCGTGACTTTGAAAGCATATCTATTAAATAAAGCTCAACCCAAAGCCTGCTTATTAAAAAAATGAGTCATATGGATGTCAGCATGACTTAGTCCTAAGTACATGACCATAGGATTTTAATCTTAGTACCACTAATAAGTTTGTTTTGGATCTCAATAAATGTATTTCAGTGCTCAACCAAATCCTGTATGAACAGGCAGCTTCAGTGCTTCCATTGCCCCATTTCACCACCATTCAGTACCTCCCCCCGACCGCCCCCCCCCCACACACACAATGTATAAGACCATCAGAATAGCCAAGGTGGATCTGACCACCTTGAACTGGTCCAGCTTTCTGTCACACAAGCAGCAGCACCCAGGTATTCAGGTACGGTGTGATCCATGAGATGTGTGCTCTGAAGGAAAATCTGAGGGTATCCCTTTTGCTAATACTGCAATAAGACAGGTAAACAGCACGGCACGAGGAGGAGTGCCACTTAATGTATGGGGTTCTTGTCCACAGTATACAGAAGTAGTAAGGCATAGCAAAATAAGAAATTAGTGTTTGAAAAGCTGGACATTATGTTATTAAAGCTGCAGGTTTCACAGTTAGTGTAAGAGTCACAAAGCACAGCTTGTGGGGCTTATGTGGCCCACAAAATGCCTGCTGTACACCCCTGGAATAACCCTGTAATACAATAATGTATTATAGTGCTCATTCATGTACATTCACACTACTTGGAATGTTTCCTTCGTTCACTGAAAGGACCTAATCTTAAAGAGCTGCATTTAAATGAATACTTTAATCTATATGTAAGAGACCCACAACCTTTCCCAAGATGATACATGTCATATGTGCCAGACTACAACTCCCATCATCTCCAGACAGCATGAGAATCATAGTCCAGCTCATTTGGAGAGGAAGGCTGGTTCCACACTTGCTGAAATACTATAACTGAAAACAAATTCCACAGTCTCATAGCTGAAATGGCATTCCTCATTCTCATTCCAGAACAATCCAGACAGCCCACACGTGTTTTCTGCAAATCACTAAGAACTCTGTTGTCTTTGAAAGAAACCAGTGTGTTCATTGATACAGACTCATCTCATCACCACCTCCTGGAAGCCCATATGGTTTATTCTTTTGGCTGGCTTTCCCCATGGAACAATAACTGCGTGAGATCTCAAACATCAGCCAGGCCATTGTACAGCAGGGGCAAAAAAGAAAGAAGTACAAAAAGGACTTCACTTTGAGGTTAAATCCCTACAGTACAAGGATGAGATGGATGTACAGAGTTTTGAGAACAGCTGCAGGGATGGATGCTTAAGCAGAGAAATCCCTATCAGGTACAAAGTCCTTTCTAGCAGAATAAAATTGAAATAGTATCAATGAAATAAGATAGATACAGAATATGCAAGATAATTGGGGCAGCATTTTTATGTTTGCAAAC